CATGTTTCCAATATTCTGACGACTTCACTTCTTTTTGGTTTGATAGAGCAAGATCTAAACTGCAAGATGTGTATCAAACAAAATTTTCTCTCGTAAAACTTCATTAGGAAAAAATTCAAAAACTAATCATCACTAAAAATATTCTGGTAAATTTTAACGAAAACATGTCAAGAAAAGCCTTTCACTAGTGTCAAAAAAAATCATTTTTTACTGGAACTAAATTTATGAAAAAATAGCCCGTGAAAAATTCTATCAATATGTTTCTCTTAAAAGATCTTCAAGTTACTGTTTAGTTGTTTTCCTCAACGCTTTTTCAAAGTCAACTGTTCTGAAAATCCAAATTTTGCATCTATCATTTAGAGCTTTCAGCAGACGCGTCACATGAAGCAGGAAGAAAATGAGATTCGATTTTATTTTTACATCAGATTGTAGGAAATTGAATGAAGATCAATATTTAGTTCAAAAATTGAAAAACAATTCATTTGTTAGTTCAAGAATTGGTAATTAATACAAACGAATTGATTTTCTAACAGTGACCAGACAAATGATTATTTTTTCACGAAAACTAATAAAAGGGAAATATATTGCACACCATTCGAAAGAGCGTTTCAAACACTCTTAGGGAAGCCGTCAAAATTCGCATCAATGAATTTATTCACCGGTGAATATTTTCACTGGTGAATAAATTCACCGGTAACTGGATTAGAAAGAGAATGGAATACAGTATTGTTCAATCTGCCTAAGAATATGAAACTATCGTATAACAGAAAGAACATATATGTATATATTCTGTTGGTTTGGACTCAACTGAGATACAATCCATATTTTAATCAAGTATCTCAGTTAACAAATCAATATTTCTGCTAAAATATTCGTTTCGCAACTGAGATACTTAAGAATACCAAAAGTAACGAGATTTGCAGGTAAAACCAGGTTAATTTCTCGTAAAATATCGGTTAAATATACAAATTAATTAAGTAAAGTATAGTACAAAGTATGTTATAAAGTATAGTAGCGTTCACGTTCTCAAAACGGCAAAAACACGGCCAGTAAATAAGCCGTTCACCTGCCGTTTTTACTGCGGCCATTTCACGGTAGAAAACTCGTCTGAAAACATCTAGGGTCAGAAAACGGACAGTTAACGGTCACCGTTAACTGACCGTTTCCAGACCATTTATTATCCACAATGAAAGTCGCCATTAACTGGCCACTAACGGGCACTTAACGGACCGTTTTTTTGTACTTTACGCTAGAACTGTGTACGCTGGTTTGTTTGGGTTATGTTCACTTTTATAAACCCTCAAGTTTTTGAATATGTACCTCGATAGTATGATCTATCCAAATGAATGAAATGAAATGAAAAGGAGAGAAATTTTAGAATGATTTTGGAATGTTTCATGACACATACACATTCAAACCGTAAACAGGTCGTTAACGGTCAGTTAACGAACCGTTTTTAGGCCGTTTTTTAGTACGTTACGCTAGAGTGATTTTAGAATGATTTTTCAAAGTTTCATGACACACAGAGCACTTCGGGGTAATTAGAGACAGTCTTTGAAAGTTTCGTTCCTTTTTTGCTATTTCTTGGTCGTTTTTGATCGGAAAAACTTGCTATTGAACAGGGTGGTAGATCGAACATTTTTTCACCTTTCTGGTACTGTAAAATACCGTCCGTTTTCGCTATAAAACGGTTGGTAACCTAAAAATTCAAACCTTTTTTCAGTTTCCAAAAAACCGTATCCTAAGAAACCATGTTGGTATCTCAAGATTCCATTTGATATTTCAGAGCGAATTAAATATCCTATGGTATTTTACCATTAACACAAAACTAATCTGGTTCTGTAGGATATCCGTTACGGGTACTTTGGTAAACCCTTTTGATATCATATCAAAAATGAAAAACCGAATATGAGATACCTTCTTGGAATTTTTGTTTGTCTGCTGAACTGTACACTAGCAAATCAAATGGTTTAGCAGCTGCAACGAAACTAAATTTGGTTTATATATCTCGACGCAAAACTTTGTTGTATACACAATAATAGACTACAGAGAGTCTGTGTGTACGAGCGTTTTAGATGAATAAGTTTTTGAAATCTCTCCACCAGGTTGATATCAGCTTTTTACTATTTCAGAGAAAGGACGTCTAGAATCGAAGAAAGACATCGGTGTACAAATAATTACTTTTAACAAATTTATCGTCATGCAGTACGCCTTGACTTGTATCAAGACTACACGTCCGGACACCAATTCGTCGATAGTTTTTCTTGAAAGAAAGTAGAGACAAATCTCTCTTCTCGTATGCATATGCGGGGGCGGGGGGGAGCAGTGAGACTGGCTGTGAGTATTTACACAAGTCAAGCGTGCTTCGTTGGATTTCAGTCCAGTTTTTTACGTATTGAGGTCAGAAGTATGAGAACCGATGCGAAGAGACGAATCTATCTATTTTGAACCCCATAGAAATGCTTCTTGTCATTGACAGCAATTCGTATTTTACGAATTCGTGAAAATAACGGCGAATTGATGTTAGAAGTATTTCAACCGCTAGATCAGTTCATAATACGAACTCGCTAATTTGTAGTTACGAATTAATCTAGTTCTAAAAGCAGTGAACACTATTTCGTAAACTAGTTTTACGAATTATTTTCGAATTGATCAACATCGTGTTTGATCTATTCTCATGTTTACGCATTCGCAAGATGAATTCGTAAAAGTTTTTGAGGGTATCCATACGAATTCGATACACTTCGCATCAATTCGCAGCGAATTTTCAAAATAAGCGTAAAACGCGAATTGTTGCGTCATTTTTACGCTTTAAAAATTGTGATTCGTCTTTAGACACTTTGTCCACACATCTGATACAGTTCGATAAAGAGGAATTATGTGACACCTCTTAGTCTTGAGAGAACGATTTCTGAAAAATCCACTTTTCTAGAAAACCTAGCTGCCTTACTATACCATCCAGTAATCTTTTAACCGCTCCATTACATAACCCGTTCAGTTGTCTAGAAAATGAGATGCCATAGGCAAGTGTCTACCATGTTTTGTCAAAAAATATCGTAGAAAATACGATACGGATCGAAAACTGAGCATGAAAGAAAAATATTTCGATGAATTTATGTCAGTAATGTTACAAAGCCTGTAATTCTGTCGCCTAACATGGTAGACACTTGAGAAAAAAAGTTGATGAATGATGTTAATTCTGGTGGTATTAATATTCCAGCTCATTTTATAGACAATTGATCGCTCTATAAACTGCATTAAAACTGTTTTATTATAACAGGAATTGGCTTCGTGGTAACTGTTTTACTGGGAAAATACCCAGTGTCCCAACCTAAGAAATTTCAATCAGTTGAATTTTTTGACCATTAGCTTATGACTTGAGCCTCTTGAAATTAGCCTAACTTGTTCAGATTTTTCTGCTAGTTCGACTCATGTGTAACCCGAGTTCTTAAAATAGGGAACAGAACAAGAACACATTAAAATTCTATAAAAAGTCTACTTTTTCGATTTTTTTCTGGAGCTTTTTGTATAAATTCGGTAACTTACTCATTATTAGGCTCTAAGGTTTAAAAATTTGAGTTTTGTGGGTAACTTTCAACGCTTTTTCTAATCAGATCATAAGAAATCGTTTAAATTTTGAATTCTTTGGAGGATTCTTAGTGATATATTTAAAGTAGGATCTACAGGTATATTAGTAGAAAATTTGTATTAATATGTTTAATTAACCGTTTTTAATATAATTGTTTTCCATTAGTTTTTGTAGAAATAGAAGAAATTCGTCTTTTATATAAAACGTTTTGGAAATTTCAGGCTTTTCTCCCCCAAAATAAGGTGGTTTTCAGGTTTTCCTAAACATTTCAGATATTCCAAGTGAAATGTCATCCCTGTGAGATGCAGCACCTATTTTATCATGATTACTAGCTTATTGAAAAGTTATTTGAAAAACAATATAATCCAAAAAGTCCACAGGATCAATTAACAAGATTAATTTCGATGAAATAATTAATAAGCTCTATTATTTAAATTAGAACGATAGATGGTTTTTGTGAGAAAAAAATTTATAACTAATTTATTTCGAGGCTTAAATTTTATTCTTATTTTGTATAGCAAGATCGCTTACGATGCATTTGAGCTTATTTGTGTTACCAGATCTGCCAAACAATATTAAAATGTTTCTTTTTCCATTGATGGAAATATTAATCATGTTCACATGAAATTGTCGTTTTTCATTTCAATCTGCAAAGTTCTCATTTGAACAGTTGCTGCTACCGTTAAGATCTGTACAAATAACCGCTCAAACGAAACTCAATCAGTTCAACATACTACTAGTTATGACAAATTCCCATTATAATTGATACAATTTATCGTAATAGCTAAGTTTGTATACTTATGTATATATACGCGCTTATAAGCGCGGCTCGCTACTGGTGATGTGAATTCCTATTCCGACATAACTGCAGCTGATTAATGTTCAATAAGCTCTGGCGATATGATTTTTCGCACAACAGCTAAAGACATGAGGTTTTCATCATCCGAATCAGCTCCTAGTCTAACTTTACAAAATGAGATAAGTCTCATCGCTAACGCCACATGTTCATATAATGATGACAGATATTTTATGGATTGATCTCTATGCAAATCAAATTCAAAGTGTTTATTTGTTCAGAGAAAAAGAAATTCGGTTTTTCTTTTTAACATAAAATCGCTGGATCAATACGTATGACTTTATTTTTATTTTGATCCGATAGAGACTTTCCAAGAGAGTTTATCACTAAAGAATTCTTTTTTTATTCAATACAGAGTCCAACGAAGACCTACAGAGAACTATGCACACTTCTACCCATTTCGAATATGATTTCTTCACTGTTTCAAATATACCCATCTTTAAAGCAAAATTTAATATTTTAATACATCCTACAATTACCCCATGATTTTGAGGAAAAGTGCGTATGAGCAAAATTAAATACTGATAATAAAACTGAATTTAACAAAATTAATTGTTAATAACGGCTAATATCCCGTCCAAATAATTTTAATTTTATCCAATCGAACGCTAATAAACATTTTGTTCTCATCGTGAACATTTCAGTGAAATAAAATGATTTCCATAAATAATAGCTACCCTTTCCCGATAATGGTTTTATATTAAATATTTTTAATAATGGTGAACCAGTAAAATCGATAACGGCTGCATCACCTCCGACATAAGCCAACGAGCCTTTATAGTTGAACCGGAATGGCTGTATTAAATTAGATGAATCCCCAGTAGACATCTTATTTAATAAACTGGCAACATAATCACCTTGTTGTAATGCTAATTGAGCTGTAGGTGGATACGCACGTAATTTTTTATCAGCTTTCTCTAATATATCATGTAAATGTTCAAATTTTAAACGTCCGGCTTGTTCTTTATCTGCATTATGAAATGCGTTTTCGATATTTTTCTGATAGATTTCAAACTATAATGAAAATATTTTTATATTATTTTCTATACTTGAAACTCTTGTTTAAAGTATTGTATTCGTATGCACATTGTTCTTACAAATATAAGAGCCACAAACTGATTCGTTCAGGATCTTAACTTAAATATATATTTCTTACTGTCAGTACACATCATTGGTCCAAAAGAAAATGGAGGAAGAAGCCGGGGCGTGGCGAGAGAAAAAAGCAGGAGGGGTTAAAGTTATTTGCGAGAAAACCATAGAACACAACATCATCGATCATCATAATTTGAGCACAATAACTAAATGTTAATGATGATGTTGATATCAATTTGAGCTTTTTTTCTGATTGAAGAGAAGTGGGAGAAAAATTTTCCTCGCAACTATTTTGGGAGACAAAGTGGAAGAAAGCATGTGTTTGTTAAATTTTGATTAGCTTGTTGACCAACCATTAGGGCAAGAGCTCACCAGGAAGGTCCCCAAGTGTGACCTTCAGTTTCGAGTGGGATACATACCAATTTTTAGAGCTCGACGAGCTGATTACGATGGAATAAAGCATTTTTCTCCACGGCTCTTGAAGATCTGGTTTTCTAGAAAACCAGTTTCTCAGAAACTCTAAAAAAAATAACCAAAACCTTTCTTAACAAGGCATATCTGTAGCGCGCACGTTTCTGATTAAAATGAGACATCTGTCAGCTCTACACGACCTTTCTTTGTAAAGTTATAGAGTTTATCAGAAAAGCACTAAATTAATTTCTTCTTATTTCTCTAGCTTTGAGTTTTTCTGATAAATTCTATAACTTTACAAAGAAAGGTCATGCAGAACTGGACGATGTCTCATTTTAATCAGAAACGTGCGCGCTACAGATATGCCTCGTTAAAAAGATTTTGATTATTTTTAGATTTTCTGAAAACTAGTTTTCCAGAAAACCGGGTCTTCAAGAGCCGTGAAGTAAAATGCTTTATTCCATCATAATCAGCATCGTCGAGCTCTAAAAACTGGTATGTATCCCATTCGAAATTCAGGGGTACACATGGGGATCTTCCCTCGTCAGACGAAATTCTTGGGGGAAAAGAGATTGTTAAAGAGAAATTTTTTTCTAAAAAAGTAGTAAGCGCATACACTCCTCCTTTGGCCCCGGCACTAGAAGGAGGAGTATAAATTCCTTGTTCGTTATTCATTTCTTCTATATGAATTGGTTTTACAATAGATTAGTAAGAATGTCTTTCAATGCCGACAGCACCTTCTTATTTCAAATCTGTTTAACTACACCGTTTCGCTGCATCCTCTAATGAATCATTATCTAAAATCATGAAATAATTTAGAGTGACTAAGGATCGTTAGAAAGCGTTAAATATGAAAATAATCAAATGTTTCATATTTAACGCGTTTGAACGGATGAAATCCTCAACCTTAACTCGGTCGAACGTTAGTTCGAACAAGAAACGATGAAACTGAGTTCACACTCGTTAACATTTAAATTTAAACGTGTCAGAGATATGTATTAACTCGTTATATCCTTCATATTTAACATGTTCTGACTATCGTTAGTTGCTGTAAGTCGCGAGGGAATGTCAATCTAAAAGATGACAAGAAAAGCATGCTCTTCTAACGATCTCGGTTACCAGAATATTTTTTATTAGAGAACTGCCTGAACGTGTATATTAGTAAATTACACGCTTCATATTTTCGCTTTTTTGCGAACGATACTTGCTAAACTATTATTGTAAAATTACAACTAAGGTTTAAGCAACGTATTTCATTGGTTTTTCAAACCTACGATTGCGATTATATTACACAGAAATTTTTATCTCTAAAATTATAATAGTTTAAAGCAACATTTGTTCATAATTCATTCACTTGCGTCGAATTAGTCTTTTTTTTCTACCGGATCGCACTCAAGTTTTGAAAAAACCTCTCTCAATAAGACGCATTAAATTAAAAAAAGTTCTATTTGCCAACCGAAAAACATTTTTTGATAGCAATTACGTTTTGGAGTAGCAGATCTTACTTTTCTATGACATTTTCTTATCAGAAAAATATTGAAATTTTATGACATCAGTATAGGAATGAAACGTTTTTCTTTCTCAAGCGTTTTTGAAAAAAGATTGATACTCTTGTCTTAGTAAGCTCCTCTGTCTATAAGTTTATATCTTTAAGGATGAATGTTTGTTTCTTCAGGGACTATTTTGTCAGAATAAGAATTGCTGAGGGTATAATCGTGTGATTATATATCTCTTACACCGAGCTACCCGGTACATCAATCGACTACTGCTCACCTGTGGAAATTCTTTAACTTTACTTTCAATTAATTGTCGAAATTCTTGTAAATCTAAAGCGTCATCTTTCACTGTATCTGCTTCTTCAAATAAAGTTTTAATATAATCGACCAATTTTCGTTGTTCAACGGTTGCGCAATCACCCACTGCATATATTGAATGATCAGCAATACCTTTTACGCGTAAATACGTGTCTGTTATTAAACCCGTACGATTGGTTTGTATGTTCACGTCAATTGTTTCACGTAAATTGTTTATTAATGGTATTGACTGAATGCCTGTTGCCCATAGAATAATTGAACATGGTATAGATAGTAGATCGTTTGAACCTTTATGTTGTACAATAACTTCTCGTTGTTTCACGTTTTTAACACGAGTGTTAGTTATTATTTCAATATTTTCTCGTTCAAAATGTTTTTCTGTGTATTCGCTGAGCCTTTTATCCTGAAATTAACACAAAATAAAACCGTATGGTCGTTTGAATACTCTTAAAGGTACAGGAACTAGAAGAAGAGTATTTTCGAGGATTAAGGCATTATAATGCTGATCATGCAGTAAAAAACTATTCTCTCTCTCAACCGATCTCTCTGAACTTTAAAAAGATTCTTCCGTTCTCGTTACTACATAGTAGGTCACTGATGAGTGTAATCTGTTGCCCGTTTCCACTAGGAGAAAGGTATTCAAGCCATTTCGGATCGATTAAACGTAGTTTCTTTTATAATTATTTCATTTTGTGGCCAATGAAAACATGCATCACAGCTTCTGTATGATTTGAGTACAGTTTACCCACAGTTGGTCCTTTTACTATGAGAAAAATTCAGCGACTACTGACAGAACTTGGACAAAAGAAAAAAAGAAAACACTGTGATCGTAACCAGGACGAAGGCTTATCAGAATCGATTTTGAGAAAAACGAAAGAATAGAACGACTAATGAAGTAACCATACGCATAAAAGTTTCCATATGCCTAACTGGAAACGGCACAAAAAAATTAAATCCAATTTTAAGTTCGAAATTGTTTTCAGTGTCGAGTGGAATCTGAATGATTCAATCCTCTGCCACAGGAATCATCTTCGTCAATCGAGTGCTTATGAAGTAGCTTTAGAGGTATTCAGGACGGTACTGGTCCCGGGGGACTTTTCATGGGACCTAAACCAGGTTTTTTTTGAAAATAGTCTTGTCTAAAGTATAGAAAGGACGGGGGATGATAAGAGGCAAAATCGGTCCACGCTCAAATCAGTCTTATGTTAACTCATCTCATGCAGTTTTTGTCCACGATTAACGCTAACATATTTTTAAATCTTAAAACTCCTTCTCAGTGCCCCTGCAAACCTTTTAGCAAAAAAAAAAACGTTAAGCGACGTTTTCTCAAAGTACTTACATTATTCAACCTGTTTCACCCACAGCAAATATCAACTGTTATACACCGTTCGATAGAGAATTTCACGAGCTACAAAATGATATATGAGATAGCCTTAAGAAAATGTAACTGGATACTCTAAGATCCGGAATACTCGGTAGTTTCCCAGGAAACCGGTAGGTCAACGGCGTTCATGTTTATAACTGTAACTAATTTTCTCGTTAACCACTGTACTTTACACATCATTGGAAAGAGACTTTCACTGGCTTCATAATGATATAGCGGGGGGGGGCCCGCGGGCGCGCGCGCGGGG